CACGGCTTTTCAACCACACATTTCAAAAACTTCTATCATAATCTACTAAAAATCTAATTTTAGTTCTCACCAAACAAACCCACTAAACTTAATCGAACAGGATGTCAAATGGTTCCAAAGTTATTGATGATCTTAACGATGACATGCAATTTCATTTTATCCGGTACAGCTTATTACTGCTGTAAAATTCTTCTTGTTTCCATCGAATAGCTTAATATTCTGAAAGTGACAATTCAATCATCTAGTAGAGAACATAAATGAGGTATGTTTTGTCCACATACCATATATGTTTGATGTTACTGATAAAAATTATGTGCATATCCAGAACTATAGAGGGAATATTTTCAGACAAGAGTAAGAAAAAAAAGAGTGCTTTTCCACCTAAGAATTGTACCGCATCCCAAGAGGTGCAAAAACCTGTGCCCTTTTGCAAGTGTATGACACTTCCGTTTTAAAACCTGCTCTAATAATTTGTGGAAGGGTAAGGGTCATGGGGAAAGGTAAAGATATTACTTTATAGAGACAGTTGTTCGAATTGCAAGTTGGTTCTCAATTTTTGAATGGGACCATGTGTGCTATTATTTAAAAGTTGAGGAACTTATTGCCAAGAAATAAAGGTGGGGTGATGAATGTTCTGATTGATGTATAGGATGGAGACAGTAGCTACAATACTTCAATTAAAAGTGAGGACATAACGATACACCTAAAAATAGTATAATATATTTCGCGTGACTTAACTCTCAAATGTACGAAGTCCGCTTCCTTGAGATGAGATTTAAGTGCGACGTTAAGAAGCCATCAACTATATAGAAGATTGGGGGCCTACTTCTACATTTTGGGTAGGTTGGGTAGTGCCACTTGAGAAATATCGAGAAAGGCATTTTGGGAATCAGTCCGATTCTATCTCTATTCCCTTCCGTTTGAAGAAAGGAAGGATCCCAAAGAGAATGGATTATGGAAGTGTGTGAATTGAACTATTGATTGGTCAAGATATATGTCTACCACATTGGAATTCACAACCAAATACGTCTTTGTTTCAATCGTCGAATAAGCTCTATACAGAAGATAGGTCGTTTCACTTGACGAGAATCTTTTCTATGATTACATTTGAATCGTGTTGTACATTAGCAGGCTCCGTTCCAATATGATAAGTGAAATGGATAAAGTAAGACATTGTATACATGTGGTCATGTCTAACAAGTTAAGTTTTTAGGTCAAGCGGTTCAATAGTTACCTAGTGCTACCTTTCTGTTTTGGTAGTTGCATAGATTTTCTATTTGATATCTATACTTCTTTTGTCCAATTTTTATTGTTGGATGAAAGACTGATTATATTTGTCATCATGTGTAGGGGACTTCTTGTTCTTATGCATGGGCTGAATGAACACAGGTATACAAAAATGCACATTTTTATTTCAGCCGATGCAATATTCAGTTCTTTTTCCGGCTTAACATATGTATTTTTTTCCCAACAGTGGAAGATAAGGTGATTTTGCTAAGCAACTTAATGGATATGGCATCAAGGTTTATGCAATGGATTGGATTGGTAAGTTAATAATCATTATTTTTTGGTAAATAACCTAAAAAATGTGTAGGTTGTACTGTATGGTAAAAATCTAAAGGCACATGGATATGTCGTTCTAGACTAGACTGGACTGGAAAACGCAATAGATGGACAAGACTTTGACTTCGCTTTCCTTCTTAATGTTATCTATTTCTCCTTATTAAACATGCTATAATAGTTGATACACAACTATAGTTGTGGACTTCAAAATCTACATGGCAGCATGTTGTAAAACTAGGTTAAATATGTCTCGCAATTGGTTCTGTTCTTCTTGGTGGGAATTCATATTATGTCTTAGTTCTCATCTACAATGGATGGACAAGACTTTGACTTCACTTTCTTTCTTAATGTTGTCTATTTCTCCTTATTAAGCATGCTATAATAGTTGGTGCTCGACTATACTCGTGAACTTCATGCAGCATGTTGTAAAACTAGGTTGAATATGTCTCATAATTGGTTCTGTTCTTCTTGGTGGGCATTCATTTTGTCTTGAATTAGTTCTCATCTGTTAGGTACGGCATCTGCAGTTTTTTTCTTACAAAGAGATCATGGAAAAAGTTATATTTTTAAGATCGAGCTTGCTAACTATTTGGGCGGATGGAAGGCTGTGATTACATTTTCTAGTTATATACCTATTGGAATGAATAGGTAACTTTTGCTGCAGTATATGAACCTTTACTGCTAATTCTATCATGAAAACATAGACAATGACCTATTGCACCACAAGTTTTATATTTTTTGAGTCGTTATTTTTGTCCCTTTCAATATACTCGTCATCGGATTTTGACAGACTCTGAAGGTTGCTATACACTGTCTGCATTTCGACATTGATGTGCATATGGACAAAATAATGTAGCATAATGACACAGAAGACCAAAAGCACAGAATAATGTAGCATGCAAGGAATATCTATTTTATGTGACTTGTTTTGCTCGTTTCTTTCCTTTAAAAACAACGTGATGTTTTCATCATTCATTAGTTGAATGATCATTCACAAATAAAGCCTCCTTTTGTTTTCTATTTTGTGGAATAGATACCCATATAGTCAACTATGCATGTACATTTGGATGTGCAGGGCTTGAATATATTTCAATCTGGAAGCTATTGGTGCAAAAAAGTAACATGTGAAGCACTCATTCATAAGTAAGCTTGTTATTTGAGTCTTTACATCAACCTAGTGTATACGCGAATGGTAGACGAAGGAGGAGTCATGCTTTCTAAATCTGAATCTTTCAGTGTTCTTCGAGATAGTAATAAACCATGAGAGTCAGTAAGAGGAGCTGTTCAACAGCCAGTGGTAGAATGGGTCTTTTTTGGCTAAATGAAATGATTGAACTTTGCATGAATAAGTTTTAGGTCTCAATTGTAGCACCGGTGTCTATTTACCTTATATTCATATTATTGAAGAATTTGCTGGCCCATGAATTAGTATTCAAAACATTCTTTCAATTCTGCAACATTTTACCTTAATCCAGGACATGGTGGAAGTGATGGACTGCATGCCTATGTGCATTCGCTTGACGATGCTGTGACTGACATGGTATGTTCTAATATTCATGTATATAATGCAGATTAAACACTTGCAGCAAACAAAAGTCATACACAAGCACTCTTGTTTATTGATTTTTGTTATTTGTTCACAGAAAATGTTTCTCGGGAGAGTTTTAGCCGAAAATTCAAAACTCCCGTGTTTTTGCTTTGGACACTCGACTGGTGGTGCCATAATCTTGAAGGTAATATCAAATTACAGGTCAAATTTATTGTGCTACTTCACGAATTTCTCACGTCCCTTAATTTGTTTCTCCCTTTTGAATATTTAGGCAGTACTTGATCCAAAGGTGAGTGAATGTTTATCAGGCATCATACTAACTTCACCTGCAGTAGGAGTTCAACCATCCCGTCCAATTTTTTCCGTAAGAATCTTTCTTTGAACACCATTTCACTACTTTTCAGTAATCGTTGAGAATATCTAAGCAACGGTTATGACTTTTGAAAATAAGGAAGTATCATTTACCAAAACCCTATTGTTCTTACTGGTAGGTGCTTGCCCCGGTATTTTCCTTCTTGTTACCGAGATTTCAGTTCAGTGCAGCAGACAAGCAGGGTATTGCAGTTTCTCGGGATCCAGAGGCACTTGTAGCCAAGTATTCGGATCCACTAGTATTCACAGGATCTATAAGGATAAGAACTGGTTATGAAATTCTTCGAATTACTTCCTATTTGCAAAAGAATTTGAGCTGGTTAACAGCACCATTTTTTGTGCTACATGGAACTGCTGATTCTGTAACTGACCCCAAAGCCTCCGAGAAACTCTATGATGAGGCTTCTTCGAGTGACAAGACGATCCAGCTCTATGAAGGGTGCTTACATGATCTGCTGTTTGAACCTGAAAGAGAAGAAATCAAGGATAGCATCATTTCTTGGTTGAACATTAGACTCTGAAGTAATTAGGCAGTCGGGCATGTATCGGAAAAATAAATCAGCAAGCATATTTTTGACTTGCTACTGGGAAGCTTTTGTGAAATAAACTGAGCATGGAATTTGTCTTGATAAATGAGTTTGTTCACATTAAAATTCAAGACTGATACACGCTACCATTATGATCGGATTACCGAATAAGTAAGAATTAATGACTGCCCAGTAAGAATTAATGGCTGATACTGGGAAAAAATTGCCCAAAAAGAAGCTAATTTTGGCTATGTTTTTTTTTTTTTGGCTTTTAACTAAATTTGCTTATGAAGTGGCATTAGAACTTGGTTGGGAGAAGGGGGAGTTGTTTACATAGGATTAGTTCTTTGTTTGGTGATGGTTTGAGAAAAATTGTTATGTTCTTTTGGTACCAAAATTTCTTGGAAAAAGTGTTGATCATACGAAAATGAAAGCACTGTATTGTTTTCATTTTCAAGCTATATATCCATGCAACTGCTGAAAGTAGTTGTGCTTCGCCTTCTAAAATGGGAGCCGGAGAAAGCTGGGCAGCCTCCCTCATGTAGAATACATGGGAAGTATTTATAAATAGTTTAAATTATATAGAAATGAGTTGTCAGAAATAGATGAGTAATACTACTTGTATATAATCGTGTACATAATTATTTACAAATTGATCACGTGGAAGAGAGAAAAAAAAGAGAATCAAATAAGAATAATGTTACTCAGGGTTTAGACATAGGGGCAGTGACGGGTGTTGTTGGCAGTATTTGTGTAGGTATATATATATTTTTTCAAACTGTTTAAGTATATTACGTCGCATGTCTCCCTGTTTAAAAACTCGTCGTTGAGGTTGTTTGTGTAGCGTGATTAATGAAGTCAATTAATACCATTCACATTGTCAATCTGTAAATCATTTTGTACATCACTATGTATAAATAACATTACTTCTCAAAGTACATATGGATTCATAGAAAGTGACTATAAATAATTTAAGCCACGGTTTGACAATTATTATCTCAAAACTTTTCAATTTTTACTCATTTTCAAACACACATTTACACAATAAATATTTTGTATTTAAATCAAAACTTTTTTTCAGGAAATTAATTGTTGAGCACAAATAATCCAGTTATGTCTTACTATATTTCTTTTGATCATATGATTAAAATTGTTATTGCAATATTGTAATCAGAAATAAAATCATTTTTCATTTTCATTTTGCATTTGATTGTTTCCCGTGATTATGTTAGGGTGCGTTTGATTGCAAGGGTGGAAAATGGGTGGAAAGAAAATGTTTTACAGGGAAAAGATTTGCCTAGAAAATATTTTGTAGGGAAAATGATTTAAAGTGTGTTTGATTGGTATAATTTTACACCCAGCAGTATTTGTGTAGGTATATATATTTTTTTCAAACTGTTTAAGTATATTACGTCGCATGTCTTCCTGTTTAAAAACTTGTCGTTGAGTTTGTTTGTGTAGCGTGATTAATGAAGTCAATTAATACCATTCACATTGTCAATCTGTAAATCATTTTGTACATCACTATGTATAAATAACATTACTTCTGAAAGTACATATGGGTTCACAGAAAGTGACTATAAATAATTTAAGCCACGGTTTGACAATCATTATCTCAAAACTTTTCAATTTTTTCTCATTTTCAAACACACATTTACACAATAAATATTTTGTATTTAAATCAAAACTTTTTTCAAGAAATTAATTGTTGAGCACAAATAATCCAGTTATGTCTTACTATATTTCTTTTGATCATATGATTAAAATTGTTATTGCAATATTGTAATCAGAAGTAAAATCATTTTTCATTTTCATTTTGCATTTGATTGTTTACCGTGATTATGTTAGTATAGCATTTTTCATGACTCAGATTTTGAATGAAATTGATAATTGATTCAAAGATAAGCTTAAATTAGTTCTCATTCGGACAGCAATTTATTAAAACTTGTGTTGCCAAAAGATATGCAAAACACAAAATGCTTTTAAGACTAGGATGTGCAGGAATGTCTTTCTTGCATCATCAACACAACAGACATGACCATGTATCTGTCTTAACACAACAGATATGACATATTCTTTAAGGCAGCTTCTGCAGAGTTGAATGCAGATAGCCATTCAGTTATTATGGTCCTACACTGTAAGATGACTTCAATGCTACGATTTCTAGGTTTTCAGAGTTGCGTGTTTGGAACTGTTGGGAGCAAACAAGAAATCACACATCAATTGGGAGAAGAAAAAAAATTCACCATATAACCCAAGTGGGTTACTCCACTCATTGTCAATTAGTTTTGGGTTGAAACCTCACTTGGGCTTGGTGGTGTGGGCTTGGGCCCGATAATTTGCTCATTATTTTCCCTACAACTGGTATTAGAGCCCAAGGTCGAAGGAACGCAGTAGAAAGCGTGGGGACGATCGGGCTAAAAATCATTCGCGTTTGAGGTGCCCTGTGTCGAAAGTCTTCTTGACATTGGTGGTCAGGCGGCGGGTCCCGTTTGGTCGAGGGCGACGGTAATATTGGCGGTACAAGCTGATTGGCGAATGGATTATCGTTTGAGGAGAGATCACAATGATGTGGTCCTTCGTTTGAGAGGAGGATTGTTGGGAGCAAACAAGAAATCCCACATCAGT